GCTGATAAAAACTATGGCCCACAAGCTGAAAAGCCCCTGGAAATAGAAACAGAAGAACTAGATCGTCTGAAGAATAATTTTTTAGAAAAATTGACCACGACAGTTGAAGACAGGCGTATTATTTTCAATTCTACTTTGGATCAGACGAAATGTCAAGAATGGTATAATGAGAGAAGACGGAGACTAACAGCTTCAAATTTTGGTAGAATTTGCAAGCTGCGGATGACCACGAACAAAAATGAAGTAGTGAATGAGATTATCAATCCTTCATTCCAAGGAAATAAATATACAGATTATGGCATTGCTAATGAACCAAAAGCTATCGCTGAACTTGCTCTTGTGTTAGGATGTGATATCCAACCCTCAGGATTAGTAATTTCAGAGGATTACAAATACCTAGCTGCTTTCCCGGATGGGTTGATTGATGAAGATTTTTTAGTGGAAATCAAATGTCCGTATACTGCCCAGAATGTTTCTCCACAGGACGCGATGACTCAAAAAATCATTAAATTAGCTGAATGGAAAAATGGTCAGATGCTACTGAACACAAATCATAATTACTATTACCAAATCCAAGGTCAATTGTTCATAACGAATCGAAAATCGTGTTATTTCGTCATATGGACCCCCAAAGCAATAGCGTTTCAGAAGATTGAAAAGGATCATACGCTATGGAAAAAAATGGTTGAGAAACTGAACCAATTTTTTATGGAACATCATTATCTACCAATTTTGATTATGGAAGATATTGAGGATAAAAATTAAACTAATTCCCTTCCAGTTGAAAATGCGTAATTTTGAGTGACCATGAGATTTTGTGGCATGACTTCAGCAAGTTATTCTCACAACTTCAAACGGTTACATCAAAATGCGATTTCAACCTCTCACTCATTTTTTTCTCATTTCGATAATATAAGTTTTTCAGAACAATGACATGTTCATATCAATCAATTTCTGAAAAAACATTGTCGACGACCAAGTATCTTTGACTTAGCAAGAACAAATTGAATCACCCTGTATATAATCCTAACTTCATTTGAATAAGTAGTGTGAGGTATTCTATCCTTTTATCACGTTTCAATCAAGTACAATAATTATTTTTCATTGGGATTAAAATAAGCTGATATTTGTATAGGGTCATCCTGTATGATTAAATATACATATTTCATTATTATTTTCAATGTTTATCAATATCATGTGTTTAATTCGATTTAAGTTGAAACCAACTAAATCTAAGAAATTATTGTCAAATTCCACTTGAGCTGCAACCGGTTCTGGTTCTTGCATGTTAAACTGCACCGTTCATCAGGGAGAGATGAAACATTTTGCTAGCGGAAATTGATACATAATAGCGTATTCATAAGATTAAGTTTTGAGGCCAAACCAAACATCGGATTTTGATTTCGTTTTCACCAACAGTTTTGGAACATATGTAGGTATGTCTGCGTGGTGAGCTAAATCTTGTCAATTCAATCTTGAATGTATTCTTCAATTTGGAAATTACCAAATTTTACGCGCTTTTTGATGAATGATTTCACATGGATGAAAGCATTTTTTGATAAAAAACAATTCATGAAAACATAGTCTAAGAGCATATCCATGACATAGCGAAAACAGAAATCAAAAGAAACGCATGATGTCCTCATATTTTGTATTCTAGAATGCCTCTCAAATGACCCATTTTGGCTACTATCCGTTCCTCTTAATGTCTTAGAAAATGTATACCGTTTAGTATAACCTAATCAAAGTAATATACTTCGAGTAATATAATGTTATTAAAAATTACAGAAGGCTGTTGTGAAGACTGATATAGTTTACTTTCCAGTATTACATGGGAATAATCAATAATCCCCCTGTATTACAATATCTATAGTTTTACTAATAGACACTCAAGTGATTTTAAGGACTAAAAAGATGTGCCATTATTAGATTTTAAAACACTTGTACCAAATCTTAATAAATTTCATACATTACTTATGAAGTTGTGTATTTTATCAGTACTGTGTTACTTTCGTCAGTCCCCTAGCAGTCAAATTCAGAAAAAGCGAAATATCTCAGAAACTATTTAAAAAAAAAATGACTGACCCGATCATGAGTGATATACAATACATTATATTAGCTGTCTTAATTAAACGAATTTTCAAAGATATGATTTGAAAACTCTAGTAAACAAACTATCCCTGAAAGTTACCCAACATTTGTAAATTCACCCAGATAGAAAATGAAAAAAATTGGGGCAATTCCATTGATTCAGAATGAATTGATTTTTCGCATATGAATGTTTGAAAGCATGGGGAACAACAATATAAAATTAGTTTCCCTGAAAAAAAAACCTATTATGATTTAATAAATGAAACGACTCCTTTTCAATTAAATAAAAACGCATGGCACTGTCCAAAAGGAGGATCACACTGATTGATTTTGAAAGAAAACGGCCCTCATAATATTGTTCTTTAGGTTTCAAATCCCCATACATAAATTTACATAATATGATCTCTATGAAAGGTTTGAAAAGAGAGTCACATAGAAATAGTATTTTTGCAAATATATCCAGATAATTATTAACCTGGAAACGGTGAATTCAGCGAAATGGAATATCTTGTTTTTTTCTTTCAAATCATAATTTTCTACCTACTGGAGCTATTGAACGTTTCATAATTCAGAATTGATTTGAATTCATTATTTTTGCCAGATAGAAAATGAATAAAATTGGGGCAATCCCGTTGATTCAGAATAAATTGATTTCTCGCATATGAATGTTTGAAAGCATGGGGAACAACAATATAAAGTAAGTTTTCCTGAAAAAAAACCTATTATGATTTAATAAATAAAACAACCCTTTTCAATTTAATAAAAACGCACGACACTGTCCAAATGGAGGCTCAAACTGATCATTTGGATGGTTATTCATGCCAGTCAAAATTTTGTAGGAATGGCAGGACTATAAATAGCTGAGATATATTAATAATGATAGTAATAATGATTATTTGAATATGCATAACTTGAAACACAAATAAAAACCAAATCAACAGACTCTGTTTTTTTATTATCCCCAGAAGTAGAGAACATTTTTGGAACTTCCCAACATCTATTTACTGACCTGTCCATTGTGCAACTTTTAACCATTTGATCTTTTGTCTACATCTTCTAAGGTTACCTAGATCCCCATGCTGTTCTTCCTCATCCTGGGCACACTGTATAGGTATGAATAGTGAAGTAATCTCATTGGAATCCTAGTTGGAACCTTTTATTTTTCCAATGATTTATACTTTTCATTAATGCTCAGTAAATCAACTCTTTCCATGGCCCAATTAATTCCAAAGATAATATTCTACCCCTGATGCTATGTCTGGCTTCTTAGGTGGTTGCAGTTATTTTTCCAGAAAATTAATTATATCTATGATACACACTTGGATACACATAAATGACATGGTGTTCTCTCCTTAGCTTGAGTTCAATGAAGATTTATGTTATTGTTAAGACAACAGGTGAGAGATGAGGTAAGCAAGGTCTTCAGGCATGTGTTATTTGCTGGGTTATTTGTATTAAAATGCCAAAAATTCCTTGCAATTCCACAAAATTCCTTATAATTTCTCACAATTCCTTGTAATGCATCTAATTTTTTTTTTTAAGCAATATATCTTTAATCAGGATTTGATTACAATGTGGTATAAATACATACAATACTTTTACACATTTTCAACTATCATTATCTATACATTGCATAGTCCCAATTCAAGAAAACCCCAAAGCAGTAGAAAATACTGGTAACGGGGATTTTAACTAATAACATTCCTATATGTACAATGGAAATATAGTAATTCATAGAATTATTAATATTGATTTTTATAGAGTGCTTTGCAATTCTTCTCAATTCCTCACCAATTCCTGGTAATTTCACATGAGTGTACAGGGTGGGCCAAATTGGGCACTTTTAAAGGGAAAGTATTATTTCCTGGCCTATTTCCATACCAGATAGGAAAAAACTGATGTGGGTGCCTGTTGATATATTCGCAAGACAAACTCAAAGGTGAAGATTGCATATCAATATCTATCTTCATTTCAGAGTTACAAGGTGTTTTTTGAAAATGTAAATTCTTGAAAAGTGGCTAAAACTCTTTTTTGGCAAAAATTCTTCATTTTCATGAAAATATTTCCAAAGCATTGTGTTTGTCATGAAAATTGATCCTCAGGCAGTGAAATCAGTCACTGTATACCTAGTTGCAAAATAGAACTTTTTCTTCAAGAAGAACAGGTTATATTCTTGAACCAGATATAGAAAAGCCGATTTCAGTGCATTGAGAACAATTTTCATCCCAACTCAATGCTCTGCATTTATTTCCATAAGAACAGACAATTTTTGCCAGAACAAAAATCTGTAGCCATATTTCAAAAATGCCCATTTTTGAAATACACCTTGTAACTCCCAAACGAAGACAGATATAGATATGCACCATTGAGTTTTTCATGAGAATCTACCTTCAGGCACTGACATCAGTTTTCTTGCATCTGGTGGGAGAATTGTACTTTCCCTTTAAATGTGTCCAATTTGGCGCACCCTGTACATTAAAATTCCTGGGCAAAATACCCTTCCAGAAAGATCTTCACTGGAATCTTCAATTTTTTTTATTTATAAGGTGTTCCAGGTGTTCCATTGAAAATAATGAAGTTCATACTCATTCCTTACATCAGCTATATTCATTTGTTTCACTTTGTACAATTTTCTGGAGGTTCAAACCAACTCTACAACTTTTGTATTCAAAGTTTTTTTTTTACTATTTTCAATGATGAACCCTGTAGAAGCTGTTTAAATATAGGGAATGTACAGCAAGGTGAGATGGGATATGGTGTATAATGTATAATGAGGTTTCAACTGGGGTTTCAACTTTGAATGTTGCTCATGAAAAAATTTAGGTGATGAACTCTAGATAACTCCTGATTGTTTCAATCTCAATACTTACTGGATATCACTAATGTCTTGAGAAAATAAAAATACTTACCGAGAATATATTGGTTTTCCTGCAAAGCTCAAGACAAATACATGTTTTTCTTTCCCAAGCCATTCCTTCTGTAGTTCCTGAGCTTCCTCTCCATCTGTATTATTATCACCAACAAAACTGACAGTATCTTCAAACTGTTCGATAATATTATTATCATTATTACATTCTTCAAGATGAGATGAAACACTGGAACTGGAACATTTGATTTCCTCCAAACTTGACGTCATCTCGCCAAAAGATTCCGTCGTTACTAAAACACTCTCATGGGCAGCGCCCGGCTCTATTTCAATGTTAGCCATACAAGGTAAATTTAGTGATCACTGATATTTTATATTTTTTTATTAATTATTCTATTCTCATATTTGATGGGATTAAAGGAAACCGATAACCTCATTTCATTTCCTAAATCAAAACAAATGATGCAAATGGCAGATGACGGGTGACAGCAAATTCCACTGATAGCTACTGCTAGGGCAAGGAGAGTATACAGAGAAGGAGTGCTAGATCCCTATCTTCCAATGTATTCCCTAAAATGTGACGTCATGCTGATGCCTTTCGCATCTCTTTTGTTTTCTGTGATCATGCCGTGATCCTATTGGTCGAAATAATACACAAAACATAAACAAACATGGCTGAAATATTTAGCAAACGCGCGCTAATGTTACATCTTTCAAAGCTTTCCAAGGTTTCTTTGTGTGATTTGTGAGAAATTGTTCATGTTTTTTATTTATGAGTGATCACTCATCAGCTATCAACCATCGAATTACAGATTATAGAAAGAGGAAAGAGACTTTCGAAGCCTCCTAACCATTGTGAATTTGAGTGCATACAGAGAATTTTTACAGCCTGTGAAGTACTTTGCAAAGAACAACTTCATTGTGAGTATTGATTGTGATCCTTGTACATGAATACACATACCTACAGTTGTATATTTCTCACAGATTAACCAATAAAATGCCTGGAATGTGCTGTGCTGTTTATGGCCTATTCCAAAACTGCAGGTGCTGGTATTATTTTTCATAGATTTCCTGGTTTTGTTACCATCAGACAAGAATGGATAACCAGATGTAGCAGTAAAACAACGTTCAATCCAGATTCAAGTAGAATGTGTTCTTGTTATTTCACAATAGAAGATTATGAAAGAGACTTGAAGAATGAATTATTAGGTAAAGATTGCATTTCTCACAAAACTATATGCTTGACTTACAGATAACAGTTGAATCTATCATGCATTTTGTTACAGGTTCACCCTTGAAGAGGATTTTGAAAAAAACTGCCATTCCCACACTGGAACTGGCAGAAATTCAAGAAAACTATGATGCAGGGCAGACACAAGACCATTCAGAAAAATTATTGGAAGTAGTCTGAAATGATACTGGCCAAGAACAAATACATCAAGTCCATTAAAGTCCAATCATCATCAAATGTGAACAGAATTTCATCAACTTTATACTATCTAGGTTATAGACAATTTGGGGAAAAGTACAAGAATATGGAAACAATGATTCAATGCCAGAAGATACAAATAGAAAAGATACATCTTTAATGAAGCTCTTGACATAAGTCAGCACTTGAAAATTTGTAAAAAGGAAAGTTACTCTATATGAAAAATCAGTATTTTTATTTTTCACAAGTCAAAACATTACTTAGTTTCAGATTAGCAACGCAGCTATTGAACAAAATCTGGCAGATAATTATTTTTATGATCAAATTGCTTGAAATGTATCCTACAATGTTCATACCTACTCAAGAAAATTGTTATTGATAGGAAAGTTGGCCCTATTTTATCAAAACATAATAACTTTGTTTCAGATTAGCCATATAGAGCTTATAGGTTTTCAAATTTCAATATACAAAAACAGATACTTTGAAATACTTACAGAAGTTGTTACCTTTTCAATTATTTCCAATATAAGCAAATGCTCCACTATTACTGTTCCCACTGAATAAAATGAATTGATTTCAAGTCTTGTTTTTATTCCCCTATAGACCAATAAGGAAATTAAAGTTTTTTCAGAAAATCAAATTTATAATTTTCAAATTTAATCACAATACTCATTACAATTAGTGAAATGATAATGTAACATATTCTTGAAACATTCTTTACAAATCATCATCCATAATATATTTCTTTGAATTTTACTATTGTACTACTAGCAATACAATTTTAAGGAAAATAATACACTGAAAAAATTGGGTGCCTTCCAATTTTACCAAGGTCCTCCTCCACAAAATGTGTATGTTTTTCCTCTTGTATCACTATTCATGTATTGAGTAATTACACAGTTCCACAAATTTCTCTGAACCATTTATTTACCTGAAAATTTAATTAATTTAAAATAATTGAGCTGAATTTTGATTTTTTTTACAATCATTTCATCCTCAAAAATAACTCCATCTGGAGGAATATTGTGAGACAAATTGATTAACTTTTAAAGGAAAGTAGGAATCCTCAGTTTTCTCCAGATTTTGATAATTTTTAAAAGGTTAAAATGTGACATATGTTTCCAACTTCAGCTAGAGGAATCTACAATTTTATATGTTAAAATACTTATGTACTACAATCATATTCAACTTACAGGTAGGGAAAGTTGTAGCTTCCTTGATGCTTGACAAATTTATTTCTTAAGCTTTCCTGGAAAAACCAGTTTATTTTCCAAGTATTCTTCCTATCATGTGAAAGTAAACCTTAAATAATTCAAATTGAGTATCAGATGATAATTATGTCAAAAATTCAATTACCAGTTATTTTCATTTATCTCCTTTTTTCCATATTGCCAATCACTGTGGATATTCAATAGCAACTTTTAATGCATATTTTCCATAAAATACTCTAATATAGCCTTGCAACATGGTTTCAATTAACAATTAATGGAGATTTAAATGTATCCACTCAGAATATTAAACATTATCTCTGAACCCTCTTCTTTCTTTTCTATTTTCTACTTCAGATCTGTACAGCTCACATTTAGTCTTCATTTCTGAAATTTCAAAAGATCATTGCTGAGCTGTGATGAACCAGTAATACAACAAAAATAACACCACCTGTTTATAGGGAAGATATGTTTGAAAAATCCTGAGACATCCCTGCTTGCCAAGTACCTTTATGCTTTAGAATGTGTAGGCTGTCCAAGAGCTAATGTTTGCAAACATAAGTTTTATATACCTACCTATTATGTGTTTGCTATTGCTTCATCTACTCTACATATTTAATGACCATCAGCTTTCAATACATCTTCCTCTGTCAAAGATCTATTTCTAGTTCACTGAAACATGAGAGCAAAGATGAAATTATACTATGAAGAGAAATATTTGTTTAACATACCTAGCATTCTCAATGATCCCAAGTCTACTGATATCATCACTATCATCAGTTGATGAAATGGACCATATTTTTTCCATGTGATATTCTTCGGTTTCCCATTATTATTGAGAGTATCTGAAACAACCAAAAACTTCAATGAATAATAAATGCATTTTCGTAATTTGTGCAACAAAAATATTACATTACATAATAATTATTTGAATCACTAACCTGTGAGCCTGTGAGACCATTCAACGATTACCTTCCAATTACACCCAGAGTTGATTATTCTAGTTCATGTCCCTCAATTTCATTATTTGAGATATTTTATAAATACAATAAAAATAATTTTCCAATTTGACGGCCATATTGCGATCAATGTGATGACGTAGTTCTGATACCCTATCACGTGACCACGGCAGAAGATTTAGGCAATCCTTCTAGAGTTTATAATCCTTGCTGCACAGGGTACGGACAGATCATAGCTGCATTCTTTTTTAATGATCTAGAGCAGTGGTTCCTAACCTTTTCAATGTCACTACCCCTGTGAACAAGTATGGGAATTGAGTTTACCCCTAGCCAATTTAAAATAATTAAAACCACACAAATTCGAACGAAAATATGTTTATTATCTAACTAAATTCTAAGAAATTGCACGTTTAGGTAACTAGTGAAGTAAAGTAATATGTAAATCTTGGAGTTAACTAGTGTGAAGGTTGAAATTGCTTTGCATTCGTAAGTTTGACAATATTAGGTTCGGTTTCACTCAACGCGCATCTCATGTCATGCTCAACATTCAGACGGTTTCTGGCTTTTGTTTTTAATGTAACAAGAGTTGAGAAACCAGTTTCACATCTGTAAGTTGTAGCAAATGGAATCAACATTTTTAAAGCTCTGTCAGCTATAATGGGATATTCTGCAGCTGCTTTTCGCCAAAATGTGCTTAGTTTATCATTTTGAAAATCAACTTTCAATGAGTTATTCTCACGCAGCCCGAGAAACTCTACTTTCGCTGACACATCTTCGTCCTTGAAAATATCGACGCAAGTAGAAAATGGTCTTAAAATCCAGGAGTAGGACTCACGACTGTCCATGTTCGGAAAATATTGCTGCAGTGAGTCTATCACGGCAGTTAAATGTTGAACCACGGAATTTTCAAACGTGATTTTCTCTTGTTTATTATTTACTAATTGCTCACTTAGTTGTGTAAACATTGACACATCACCAGCTTGAACTCTGCGTTGGTAAAGTTCCAATTTGCGCAAAAAACTTGCGATTTTATCCTGCAACGTCAAAATATTCGTTTCATTTCCTTGCAGTGAAATATTCAGACTATTAATTTCAGTGAAAAAATCAGCAAGGTACGCCATTTTTAGAATAAATGTTTGGTCTTTAATTTTTGCATAATATTCTTTTTCTTTTTGTGTTCTCTGATTTTCAAAAAACAATCCAATTTCTTCTCGTAATTCGTAAACCCTACTTAGAACTTTGCCTCTTGATAACCAACGTACCTCTGTATGGTACAAAAGAGCATTAAATGTAGCACCAACTTCATCGCACAAAACTTTGAATAATCTTGAGTTAGTAGCGCTGCCTCGAATATGATTAACAATTTTTACTATGTCACTCAACGTGTTTAGCAAATCTGGTGGAAGCGTTTTCACAGCCAAAGCGTAACGGTGTATCAAGCAATGATAGCCGAAAACTTGAGGAGCAACTTGTTTCACGAGTGCCTGAAAACCAGAACGGATGCCCATCATGGAAGGCGCCCCGTCTGTACAAGTACCAATCAGCTTTAACCAGTCTAGGCCATTTTCCTCAATAAACTCTTTTAGCGTTTGAAATACGTCTTCGCCGCGAGTAGTAGTGGGCAAAGACTTGCAGAACAAATATTCCTCCTTTACATCATCATCTTTAATGTATCGTGTAAACATCAATAATTGTGAACACGAAGCAACATCTGTGGACTCGTCCAACTGCAGCGCAAACATAGGACTTTCCTTTATTTCAGAAATAACGGTTGCTAGAATATCGGCACTCATTTCACATATGCGACTTTGAAT